GGGGATTAAGAGGTACTCCTCTGATAAGGGGACAGTCAGTAGGAGCTGAGCAGAGGAGGTACTGTGGTCCCCAGTGTGAGGTGGGCTTGATCTGCTGAGAAGGAGATAGCTTATGGAGAAGCCTGTAGCTTATGGAGTAGGTCTCATCGAAAGAGTGGGTAAGGGCATTCTGGCATTACAAGAAATATGTGGGTTACTCTCTTTTGACCCAAATTTACTTCCCGGGAATGGGTAAATGGGTATTCCTGAATAGTTCCTGTGGCACCTTGCACAGCAATCTTTCTGTTGGAGACTCTACCCAAAGGGGCTTGTAATACAGAGTGTTCCACCCCCGTGTTGACTAGGAAAAGTACAGGCTGGCCTCCTACCATAGCAGTAACCATGGGCTCCCAGGGTCTGAGGGGCAGGGAGCCCTGGCCCCTTCAGTCCTCCTTAGACTCTCTGGCTTCTGGAAGAGTGAGAACTTTCCCTTCCAGCCTTTTTGAACACTCTTTCCTCCAGTGTCCAATCTCTTTGCAACAGGCACACTAATTCTGTAGTAGGGGCATTTTTCCCTTTTTCCTGTGGGGGTCTTGAGTTTTTTACTCAGGCCTTTGCCCAGTAAGACCTTTCCATGCAGGGGGCTCTACTTGAGCTTCCCGGATTGCAGCTACCTGTCTCTGTGATGCCTCATCAGATGTCTTTTCAGCTGCCAATGCAGCCTGTTTTTCTTGTTCTCGATTGTCATAAACTTTTTGGGCTATGTCCAGGAGTTGGGAAATGTTCATTCCAACAAATCCCTCAAGTTTTTGTAACTTTCTTTGAATATCTGGGGCTGCCTGGGCCACAAATGGCAAATTAGTAGCATGGCTATTTTCAGGAGCTTCTGGATCAAATGGGGTATATGTTCAATAAGCTTCCTGGAGGTGCTCTAAAAATGCTCCAGGGGACTCATTGGGCCAACTGGACAACTTCAGTTGTCTTAGACAGATTCATGGGCCTCCAAGTGGCTCCCTTAACACCCGCTAAGAGATGCCAGTGGAACTCGTCCAAAGCCCTCCTCCCTGCCGTGGTGTTTGGGCCCCAATTAGGATGAGTGGAGGGGAAAACCTCCTCTAGGAGGTTTCGGGCCTCCTCCTTTGGCCTGCCTGCCAAGGCAAGGAAAGCTTTTTTAGCCTGCCTATGAATACAGTCCCTTTCCTCAGAGGTAAAGAGGGTTAGGAGAAGCTACTGACAATCATTCCAGGTGGGTCTAAAACAGACTCCACCAGTGCAGTCAGGATCTAGGGTTTCTCAGAAAATAGTAGGTTCTGAGTTTCCCAGTTTTACAGGTCAGAAGTAGAACAAGGAACATAGACCATAAATGGGCCATCCTGTCCTCTAACCGGCAGGGGTGGTGCTTCTCTTAGGAGGGGAACGGAACAGGCTCCTCCGCCTGGGGCCATAGCCTAGAGGCGATAGGCAAAGGGTCCATGGGAGCTGGCTGCTCAGAGGGTGGTGGCAGTGGAGAGGCCATAGGAGATGAGGTTGAAGAGATGGAAGGAGATCTCAGGGGTGGAGGAGGATTGTAGGGTGGAGGCAGAAGAAGATAACTGTCTTCCTCTTCTGAGCAGGCCAACACAGGAGGAAGAGAAGGAGCTGAGGGTTTGGGTAAGGGAAAAGTCCAGCTAAGTAAGACCCTGGGCGTGGGGCTGTGAGCAGTGCAAGATTGTAGCCAAGGAGGGAGATTCTGGACCAGGTCCAGCCACTGGTCAATATAGGGAAACTGATCAGGGTGTCCAGCATTCTGGTAATGACTTTCCACACCGCCTGAATTGTTCTGAAATCCAAAGACCCTGCTGGGGGCATCCTGTTCCAAAGCTTGGCCACTCCACTTCACAAAGAGTTTCAGAGCCTGCCTTTAGTAAGGCAAACTCCATACTCTCCTGAGAAGCCCCAGGTGAAATTTTTTAACATGTGCTGGAGGGGTGTAGAGGCAGACCCCATTATGGGAAGTACTTAAGGGGAGCTGGTGGTCTTCAAGGTGATTGGGGATTTCTTTTAGTCTTATATCCAAGACATCATTGATGTCTGTATGACTCAAAGGCAGAGACCTTGAACTGGGCTCTATTGGCTGTGGGCCTGAGGAGAGATAAGAGAGCCAGGTCCTGACATATAGCCAATGACTTGATGTGATAAGGGAACGAGGCAGGTCCGGGGTAAAGTGTGAGGGTGAGGAGGATAAAGATCACCAAAAGGATCTCACCAGTAACCACCTGACAGTGAGTTCCCACCCAGGGGCATTATAGGAGTGGAAAAGTTGTAGAGCTAAAAAAGCATAGGTCTCCTTGAACGGGCTTGTCTAAAAGCAGAGGAAAAGTGGTGGGATGGCAGAAAAGGTGGGCCAGGAAATCAGCAGGATGGGTGTTCTGGATCCACCAGTGGTCTGTGGGACCGTCACACGTCACTGGGACGTGGCATATGACAGTCCAACTTCCAACAACCTTTATAATGGCAAAAATCCCAAATGGGGGAATGGGCCCCCAAATGCTTAGCACAAGCCTTGACTTCCTTCTGACAGAAAAGACAGCCTTGGGGAAATCAGCCCAGGTGAGAGATAAGGGAGATGGTGTCTGGTGGGATGAGGTGTCTAGTGAGGGCCTTAAAGAAATTCTCACCCAACCGCCTTGGACAGTAACCAAGACGGGACATGCAATTCACACATTAACAGTGAACGAAACAGTAGACACAAGACAGACAAACGTTGGAGACAAAACAACACAATGACCAGTGAGGTAGATAAGGCACTGAGGTAGATAAATGGTTGCGGTTATTTTAAAAGGACAGACGAGGGAGGGGAATCCTGTATTGGGAGCTTTCAGATGCCCACCTGGCCACTCCGCTTATGGGGACTCAGGTGCCTCTTCAAACAGACAAGTCGGTATAAACCCCCAACTTGGATCAGGACCAGTCTAATGCTGTGAAACTAGTCTGATGCTGTCATTAGGCTGTATGAAGTCACCACAGAACCGCAGGTTGGGGCCCACTAGGACTCCGTAGCTTTTGCCATGGAGCCACAAACTGGATCTTCAGATGCAAGCCTCTGAGGTCCCCTTGCACTCACACATACACACATACATTCATTCAGAGGTTGTTATATTCTTTTTGTACTTTGTAAACAGTTTGAGCCCAGAAGAAATATTTCTTCTTCTTTGAAAATGTTTCAAATTGGACAGAAAACAGGGACTCCATCCCCCAGCATCCTGGAGTGGTGACAGAGTCCAGAGGGGCACTCTTGTCAGGGCTGGGCCCCTTTAAATCAGACAGTAGGACAGAACCAGGGACCTCGGACACCCAGAGTCCAAAAAAAAAGACAGAACCAGGAACTCTAGTCCCCCAGAGTTGAAAGACAGAACAGAATTAAGAACACTGGACACCTAGAGTTCAGAGACCAGGACCAGTAACTCTGGAGCACTCAGAGTCCAAAAACCAGAACCAGGGACTGTTCCAGAATCCGAAAACCAGAACCAGGGAGTCTTCCAGAGTCCTAAAGCCAGAACCAGGGAGTCTTCCAGAGTCCAAAAGCCAGAACCAGGGAGTCTTCCAGAGTCCAAAAGCCAGAACCAGGGAGTCTTCCAGAGTCCTAAAGCCAGAACCAGGGAGTCTTCCAGAGTCCTAAAGCCAGAACCAGGGAGTCTTCCAGAGTCCTAAAGCCAGAACCAGGGAGTCTTCCAGAGTCCGAAAACCAGAACCAGGGAGTCTTCCAGAGTCCTAAAGCCAGAACCAGGGAGTCTTCCAGAGTCCTAAAGCCAGAACCAGGGAGTCTTCCAGAGTCCTAAAGCCAGAACCAGGGAGTCTTCCAGAGTCCTAAAGCCAGAGCCAGGGAGTCTTCCAGAGTCCAAAAGCCAGAACCAGGGAGTCTTCCAGAGACCTAAAGCCAGAACCAGGGAGTCTTCCAGAGTCCAAAAGCCAGAACCAGGGAGTCTTCCAGAGTCCTAAAGCCAGAACCAGGGAGTCTTCCAGAGTCCAAAAGCCAGAACCAGGGAGTCTTCCAGAGTCCAAAAGCCAGAACCAGGGAGTCTTCCAGAGTCCAAAAGCCAGAACCAGGGAGTCTTCCAGAGTCCTAAAGCCAGAACCAGGCAGTCTTCCAGAGTCCAAAAGCCAGAACCAGGGAGTCTTCCAGAGTCCAAAAGCCAGAACCAGGGAATCTTCCAGAGTCCGAAAACCAGAACCAGGGAGTCTTCCAGAGTCCTAAAGCCAGAACCAGGGAGTCTTCCAGAGTCCGAAAACCAGAACCAGGGAGTCTTCCAGAGTCCTAAAGCCAGAACCAGGGAGTCTTCCAGAGTCCAAAAGCCAGAACCAGGGAGTCTTCCAGAGTCCAAAAGCCAGAACCAGGGAGTCTTCCAGAGTTCTAAAGCCAGAACCAGGCAGTCTTCCAGAGTCCTAAAGTCAGAACCAGGGAATCTTCCAGAGTCCTAAAGCCAGAACCAGGGAGTCTTCCAGAGTCCAAAAGCCAGAACCAGGGAGTCTTCCAGAGTCCAAAAGCCAGAACCAGGGAGTCTTCCAGAGTCCTAAAGCCAGAACCAGGGAGTCTTCCAGAGACCTAAAGCCAGAACCAGAGACTCTTCCAGGGTCCAAAAACCGGGACCAGGGACTCTTTCAGAGTCCAAAACCCAGAACTAGGATCAGGGGCTCAAGGTCACAGGAATCACTGTAGTCAATTCCAGGGTCCTGGTAATTGGATGATCCCTCTAACTTCCAGGAATAACCAGGTCAGGCCTGACTTACCTTCTCCAAGAGCAGGACCAGGGACTTGGAAGAATAATTTAGTGGAGTGCACTGGGAGTCGATCTGCTCTCCTCCAGCAAGGGGTGGTCTATGGGGCCCTGGAACATCTCAGGGGGCACCTCCCTATAGTCTACCTTCTCCCACAGGAGAGCCCGGAATGAGCCCAGTCTGCACCGGGTGGTGAATAAAATTCTCACTGGAGCCTCCAAAATGTAATAACCAAACAAGTCACAGAAGAAGCGCCATGCTCTGAGTTCAAATAACGAGTCCTTTATTCAGCCAGCAACCGAAAGTCAGCTAATGCTCAAAATCTCTCAGCCCCGAGAAGGGGAATTGATTACTTTTTATACCTTTATTTAGGTAGGGGAGGGGGTACCTAGCTGAAGCAGAATTTTACAGAAGCTGAAAGAGCAGGTTAGAGGAAGGGGCTGTGGGTACAGGTGTTTTCCATACAATTACCAAGATGGGGGGTGATCAGTCGCTTTCCACACAATGATCAAAGGAGAAGAATTTTCTTCACAATAGCAAGGGGGTAGCCAAGCAGGATGAGGTTACAATGGTTACAAGTGTTAAGAACAGTATGCTTCCAACTTTAACGCTTCAAAGCTTCTAAGTGCAGCCTGACCCAGTTATGTACCCGAGCAGGGGGTATGGTAGGGAGGGGGAAGCTGGGCCGGAGCTTACAGCCAAGATGGAGTCAGTTGGGTCAGCACAAGGTAGGTTATTACAGCATGTGTATACCTATGTAACAATACTGCAAGATCTGCGCATGTACCCCAGAACGTAAAGTATAATAAAAAAAGAAAATAAGCGAAAAAAAAAAAAATCTTAATTCCCACTCTCTAAATCCAATAAATTCCAAGCTAATTATCAGCTCCATCATCAAATGGGTCTTAGTGACAGCATAATCTATGTCCTTGGACATGCATGCTGGCTGTCTACTGATTTGCTTGGGTAGGACATTCTGTAGATATTGTGAACTCCATGAAGGCAGAGACTTTGTTTTTGTTGTTTTGTATCTGAGACAGGATCTCCCTCTGTTGCCCAAGCTGGAGTGAGTGGAGCAATCACGGCTCACTGCAACCTTAACCTCCTGGGCTCAAGGAATTCTCCCACCTCAGCCTCCTGAGTAGCTGGGACTAAAGGCATGCATCACCACACTCAGCTAGTTTCTGTATTTTCTTTTTTGTAGAAAAGGGATTTTGCCACATTATCCAGGCTGGTCTTGAACTATTGGGATCAAGAGATACGCCTGCCTGGGTTTCCCAAAGTACTGGGATTACAGGCATGAACCACTGCACCTGCCCAAAGACAGAGACTTTGTATGCTTTGTTCACTGCTATACCCCCAGGGCCTAACATACAGCCGATGATCCCTAACTACTGGTTGGTTGACTGACAAATTTCTAGCAGATTAGCTGAATATTCACATCTATAGCACAAAGGAGAAATCTTAGAGCTTGCAGTATTGATTCAGAAGGCATTCACCTAGGGGTAATAGTTGAAGGTGTCTGTGGCAGAAGATTAAAAAAAAAAAAAAAAACAATCCCAGAAGGGAAAAGAAAGAGAGAGGAAGATAGAACTGTAAGAAATGTCAATAGATAAGTAAAATACTTCCAGATATTGGGATGATAAAAAAAAAAAAAAGACTAATAAGCCAAGAGGGGAAGAAGAGTTTTCAGGTAAAGTTATGGCATAAAATGCTGCAGTGTTAGAGGAAGGATATAGATCAAGCATAAGATCAAGGATTTAAAGAGGTGTCATTAGCGGTCTGGAAGCAATGTTAGCAGAGCATTGTGGACCATGGAGAAGGGGACAGAGCGCAGGCAGATTTGACAGATTAGGAAGATAATGTATGGGAAGAAAATAAAGGTATCTAGGGTAAATAAATTTTTTGAGACATATGACAATGAAAATAAGGTGAGAAATGGAGTAACAGTTCGAAAGAATCAGAAGTCCAGGGAAATGTAGAGCAAATGTGAATTAAAAACAAGAAGTTTAATTTTCCCTGTAGAAAATAAGAAAAGAGATTTCCCCCATCTTCCCTTTTAAAAGAGTCTTTAGACAATTTGTGCTTTTAAGGTCTTTTGTCTTGTTAAAATGTAGGTAAACCTTTGTACTGCTAACCTCTTGTCAGCATTATGACCCAGGAATGTCTTTCTCAAGGACCTGGAAACCATCTCTTGGAAGTGTAGACATTAAGGAAGATAGCAGCCCTATCTCCCAGATTCTGTGAGATGGTGGGAAACTACCCTTAGCTTACTACTCGCTCCAAGTTGCAAAACTCCCTCTTGTTATAAAGAGTAGTTGATTTTTACTTTGATTAAAGCTGGTTAGCTAACACAGATGGTCACCCCGACTATGATGTGGGTTTAGGATGAATTATGTGTAATAAATGGTGTTGTAAGTCCTTAAACTTAAGCACTAGTTATAGTTTGTTTGAAGAAAATGTGTGTATTCATCAGGGTTCTCCAGAGAAACAGAGCAAATAGAATGTTTCTATGGTCTAAGTGTTTGTGCCCCCCCAAATTCATTTGTTGAAACCTAATTCCTAATGGGGTGTATTAGGAGGTAGACCTAATTAAAACATTTTGGGATGATTAAGTTATGAAGGTGGAGTCTTCATGAATGGAATTAGTTCTCTTATAAGGGGCAAGAGGAGAATACAGTTCTCCCCTTCTACCGTGTGAGGAGGACACAGAGAGAAAGAGCCATCTATGAACCAGAAAGCAGGCCCTCTCCAGATATCAAATCTGCCAACACCTTGATCTTGGCTTTCCTGCCCTCCAGAACTGTGAGAAATAAAAGAAAGAGATCTATTAAAAGGAGTTGGTTTATGCTTTATGGAGGCTGACAAGTTCCAGGATGTTCAGGGTCAGTTGGCAAGCTGAAAACCCAGTACAGTTGATGATGTGGTTCCAGTCCTAAGACTAGCAGGCGTGAGACCCAAAAATAGCCAATGTCTCAGTTTGAGTCTGAAGGTAAGAAAATGCCAATGTCCTAGTTCAAAGCCAGTCAATCAGGAGGAATTCTCTCTTACTTGAGGGAGGGTCAACCTTTTTGTTTTATTCAGACCTTCATCTGAGTGCATAAGGCCCACTCAAATTAAGGAGACAATTTGCATTACTTAATCTATCAATTTCAGTGCTAATCTTACCCCAAAACACCCTTACAGAAATACTCAGAATAATGTTTAATCAAATATCTGGGCACCCTGTGGCCCAATCAAGTAGACATAAAAATTAATCACCACCATGTCTGGAATGGATTGTATCTGCTTGGTTATACAAAAGAATGAGGTGCCTTTTTGTCTTTGCAATATCTTAGCGGATTGCCTGCGATGTGCATCACATAATCCAATTGTTTTCTTTCCCTTCTACCTTTGTGGAATGGTTTTCTGGGTTGGGAGGAGATTTTGTTTTAAATGATATTTTCCCAACAGATGCAATTGTTAAGTTTGATTAGAGTAAATGTGAAAGCGTTTGTCAGACAGCAGGATGAACCAGAAGGAAAGAAAAGTGAAGATCAAATAAGATGTATTTGATGGGGCATGGGTTTAGGGAGATGATGTTACAAGAAATATGGGAAGTTACAAGCCTTGAAAGGAAGAGAAACCCTTCCCTTTCTTGCTCTTCCTCCGCTTCCCAACTACATTAGTTTTCTGGGGCTGCCATAATAAAATAACACAGACTGAGTGACTTAAATAACGGAAATTTATTTTCTCATAGTTCTAGAGGCTAGAAGTCCAAGATCATGGTGTCAACAGATGTGGTTTCGCCTGAGGCCTCTCTCCTTGGCTAACAGATTGCTGCATTCTCACTGTGTTTTCAGAGGGCCTTACACATTTTTGGTGTATTTTTGTGTATCCAAATTTTCTCTTTTTCTGACACCAGTGTGATTAAGACCGCCTAGCAGTCTTATTTTAACTTAATCACCCCTTTAAAGGCTCTATCTTCTAATACAATCACATTCTGATGTACTAGGGGTTAAAACTCAACATATGAAATCTGGGGGGACTATTCAACCCATAACACCAATGTATCCAACTGTACTCATACTTCAAACCTCAATTCACTTGTTACTTTTGCCTTACAATTAAAATCTATTTCTTTCATGCCTTTACTTCCTCAGCACTTTATCTTTATTTTTCATGTGGCCTATAATACAGTTAATCATTTTTATTTCTCAGGAATTTATTTTTATACACTAAATAATGATGTGCTACAATATTAGCTGAATTGCTGTTTGTGTGAATGGAACTTATAGTTGATGGTGTTAACTTTACTTGGACCTTGGAATTTTTATTTGCTTCAATGCTCACTGTGTTTGCTCAAAATATTACCTCTCATTAGATGATATATCTAGGCTTTAGAGTCTTTATCTGTAGTTAGTAGATTGGAATATATAATCTCTGTTTCTTTTATCTCTACTATTCCATCCATCCATTATTTCATTCATTCACTTATTCATCCATTCGGGAATTATGAAAGAAGTATCTTCTATTCCTAGATGGCAGATGCAGTGCTCAGGTCTTGAACTCAAGACCAAGTTTCTACCTTCCAGGTCAAAGAGTTGACATTCTAATTTTGACCTGTGGTCAAATTCCGATGAATTTGTCTTGCCCCTCTTGTTCCCCAGCATTCCACATCATAAGGCCCATTTTGCAAAGCATGCTGCAGGGAGTCTTTTTTAGACTACCTTCCTCCCCACTTATTTGTGGTCAGTCTCTTCAATTTTACCCTCAGGCTAGGCATTCTGCAGTCCTCAAGCCTCTACACATCACTTCAATACAACTATATCACAATTAAGCATTTAGAGAGATCATATGAAATGACCCGAATACCCCATGAACCTGAGATACCTACCCTAACTCCTCTTGCCTGATAATAGGCAAGTGTATGCGAAGTCATCTCTTTGGAGCAGCTTCTTTGGACTGAGGTATTTTTTTTCTAGAAGTTTTCTTTAAAAATGCAGGTATCATATCCTTTGTTGTACTTTATTATAATAATTGATTGCAGCTGTATTCTTTATTTCACCCTTCCCACAGTGCCTTCAATGTAAACCAATGTATGAAGTAGAAATTCTCTGAGGACCATGCCCACTAATATTAACAGGTATCTTGGCACCAGTTATTTTATGACAACAGAGTTTATAGGTAACAAAGTATTAATATAAGAAGAAAAGTTCGGGATAAATTTGGAGCTCAATGCACTTTTTATTGATGCCCTATAAGTGAAGAGGTTTGTTTCATTAGGAGGATTGGATATCGATGCAGGTGTATTTAAAACGCTCTGACTGTTAAAAAGATACTGAAAGCAGATGCATAGGGCAGCATGTAGCTGGCATAAATATTGACTGTTTTCCACCATAAGGGACAAAAAGTGTGTAATCAGCCAGCACTATTAAAAAATCAAATCCTTACAGATGATAATAAATTGTGAAATGCACAACCAAGGAGTAAAATATTTACTTTTATATTTATAGAGGTTTTGCTTACTACACAGACTAGGAATCAGCAATTTCTAGACAATAAATATCTTAATCTTTGTGGGCCATAGATCTGTGGCAGCTACTCAACTTTGCCATTGTAACACGAAAGAAGTCATAGTCAATAGCAAATGAATGAGTGCAGTTGTGTGCTAGTAAAACATTATGTACAACAAATAGTTTACTGACCCCTGATATAGACTATAGAAGAGGTGCTATGAGAACTTCCTACTACCAGTCAAAGAAAGAAGATGAAAACTCAAAGCCATTTGCCTGGTAAGATTCTTCTTCCATTCTACTAAAAATACAAAAGATAGCTAGAGTAAAAATATAGTTTGCAATGTAAAACAAAATCAGCTGACTGGGGTAAAAATAAGGAAAAGAATATCTAAAGGATATTTTTTAGATATCTAAAAGTCTTTCCAATAGCATATGATGCTTACATTTAGACTTAGCTATTTTCTGCTGGCATAAAAAGAAAACAATTTTTTCTCCACAAAACACTGTATGTAAGCTTCTTTATAAGCTTACCAGGGATGTAATTGGTTATTTCTTGGAAACTGCTCCAGAACTCTTTTGGGCTTCAGGAGAATTCTCTGATATGAGAGTCCTTCCTCTTTTCTGTTCATCCCTCAATTATTTACAGTAAAACTAGTGAAGATTTTGTCTGAACTCTTTCCACCTCTCCTTTCTTCATATACTGTCTTACTTTTCATTGGACAGTCTGTCTTTTCAGGGAGACAGTTGTCACAGGCCTCAACTTTTCAGTAGCAAAATGAATATGACCTTGCCTAGAGATGTTCACCATTAAAAGCACACAAGCAAATCATAAGGTCTTCAATACATAAAGAAATGTCTCCACGTGTGGAATTTGGGGCTGGCAGGAGAAAGGTCTTGATACAAAGATTGTGGCTTCAGTCCCCTAAATCACATTGGGATAGAGCTGGCTTTGTCCAGAACTGAGTGCTTCATGGCATGGGACACGGCATGTGGTCAGTTGCTCAGTCCTATTCCTAACAGAACTGTAATGGCTTTCTAAAAAAAAAAAAGTGTTCTACAAACAGATAAATTCCCTTTACTCTGATTTTAAAATAATTTTTAGCAAGTAACTTACAAGTAATATTAGGTTTCGCAAACAGCTCTGTATCATGAATGTACTGCTGTTCTGTAACAGGTATATCCAACTGGCTTAGTAGTAAGCAATCAATCACATATGGAGTGCCTATTGCACGTCAGGTCCTATATTGCATTTTTAAATTTAATCCTGATGCTAATACCAAGAGTCTGGAAACATTAATCCCATTTTGTTAAAGAGACTGAAACTCAAGGAAGCTAAGGAATTTGGTCTCATAACAAGTGGGAAAGCCAGTAATTATGGACACGCCTATCTTCAAAGTTCTATCTCCTTGTGCTGCCTTATTTCTCTCATATGTGTAAAGGACTAGACTCATTCTGGTTTACAAATCATCTTTGGTGAGTGCTGTTAAAGGTGCCTCAGTTTCTATTAGTTTGATCACTTCTGATGGAATTTAGAGAAATTATTTTCTGAACTTAAGGTATTGAGATCCAGAACCAGAATAGATTCCCTATGTAAGACAACTTTGTAACATTCTATTTTTGACTACAAAAAATAGTAAATGATACGTTTTTTAAACATTAAGCTACAATGCAGTTGAGCACTAATAATCATTATGATTATTAGACAGTGTATAAGTACAGAACGTGACCATAATGCCTCCATTATCCTTGCAAAAGACATGAAGCCATCTATGGGTCAGGAATCAAACAGCTACTGAATTGGTTCACTTTGTAGAGAACTACATGGAGATCCCTACATTTTAGATAAAGTATTATACCAGGAGCATTTCTATCTAAATATCGTAGCATATTGGAATATTTATATATAAAAGGTTTATCACAGCCCCTGGAACTCAGTAGAAGCTCAGTAAATAATAGTTGAGGTAGCTTATAATAATATGGAGGTCAGTGAGCAAAGCGGTACTTCAAAAATCACATTCAGTTCAGAGCCCTGAGGACAGACCAATTGTTAGCAGGTCTCATTCATCTCCCAAAACTCCATTCAGAAAACAAATTGATAAATAAACTCATCGTGGTACCACCAACTCTGAATTATTACGGAGTGGAGATTTAGAGGATTGTTTATATATCCATTCGTTGGCCACCAGTAATAGCAGAGCATGTTAACAAGGCACTCAACTTATACATTTCAGGAAGAGTATTTTCTCATTTCTGAACCATCCCTAAGAAACTACACCTTGAGTACTGTTTTGTTTCTCAAATTGAACTTTAAATCTCTGACCCAGATATTATATTATCCACATGTACCTGTAGAGGGCAGCCTTCTACAGATTTTTGTAAGATGTAGTTTTTTTTTTTTTTTTTTTAATCCTTCCTCCTCCCAAAAGGCTCCAAAAAGGAGTGACCCAGCACGAAACAACTTTTGCCTTTGCTTGGGAGAAACTAGAACATTTACAATAGCGGATTTCCCACCGCGTGTCGCTCAGACCCTTGCTGTGCATCTTGGGAACTCTTGCCGGCAGAGCCTGAACATACTGTGTGTGCAGGTGCAGCCTAAGCTTAGCAATTGTCAGTAACAACAAAGCAACAAGTCACAAAGAAGAAGAATAAGCAAGAGGAAGAGAAGGAGGAGGGAAGGAAGGAAGACGAGGGGAAAAGGAGAGGAGGAGGAGGAAGAGGAAGAGGAGAAAAAGAAGGAAGGAAGGGGAGGAGGAAGAGCTTTAACCCTGTACTAGTCTCTAGGCTGAGGGCATTACACGAAATCCCACGTTTATTTTCACAGCACCTCTAAATAATAGATGTTATTTATAACCATTGCTTTACGGGGGGAAAAAAACAGGAACTGAGAATTAAATCAGTTACTATTAAGAAGCACCTGTGGAATTTGATTCCAGATTTGTTTGACTCGAATTCTAGCTCCTAATCACTACCAAAAATTTGCAAATAAAAATTAAATTAGTCTAGTCGCAGTGGCTCACACTTGTAATCCCAGCATTTCGGGAGGCCATGGCCAGTAGATCGCTGGAGCCCAGGAGTTTGAGACCAGCCTGGGCAATATGGCGAAACCTCATCTCTAGAAAAGATACAAAAAAATTAGCTGGGTGTGGTGGTGTATGCCTATAGTCCCAGCTAGTCAGGAGGCTAAGGTGGGAGGATCACTTGAGCCCAGAAAGTCGAGTATACAGTGAGCTGTGTAGACACCACTGCACTCCAGCCTGGGTGACAGAGCCAGACCCTGTCTCAATAAAAAGTAAAAATAAAAATAATAAATAAATAAATTGAATTAAGGGGTTTCACATCTCTTTAGCTGATTTATCCCATAAACCCTTCAAAAACCTAGAGAGGGAAAACTGAGACTACTACATGAATGAGAACTTCACTTATCATCTATCTATGAATGAATGGGTTGAATGGGTAGACTATTATTAATTAAGCTAGGCAAATGAGACAACACCACACTAATTTCAAAACATCTTCAAAATAGCATTTGTAATTGTCTTAATCTATAAAATTAGTATAACATTTTATCAGCAGTTTCTGAAGATAACTTTCACATATTTATTTCCATTAAAATTAAATTATATGTGTGTATTTTGGAAGGTATTGTCAGGCTATCAGATTTTATTTTCTTACTACAATGCTCTTATAATTGATCTCCACAGCAACTAGTTTTCTAGTACTAGCAAGGTACCCATAACAGCAGGCTTTTCAATTAATTTTTACTCATATTGAGATAACAAATAAATCAGATAGTTGTATTTAATGGAGCAAAACAAAATTTCCTAAAAGCAGGAAGAAAAAAAGTCATCTAGTTCAAAATCAATTTCATTAAATCAACATCATAATCTATTAAAACAGCATTTCCTAATTCTAATATTTTTACATCTCAAATCAAATTTTATTCAGTCAACATCTCTAGAATGCATATTGTCCAAGCATTATTTATCAGATAATCTACTACCATAGTGACAGCTGGATCCTATTTGCTTTGGCAGGAGTCCAGAGTTTTCAGAAAGTATGGGCGATTAAATAGCTTTTCATGCTGAAAAGCACATTTGCTGTATTTCTGTAGCTGGACCACCAAACAGAACTAATTTCAAAATAGCAAGATTAAAAGAGCCCACTTTTCTGTTACATGTTTTCATTGATCCCTTTAAACTTACTTTCCAAGCCAGAAAATTCTCTTTCTTTATGTTGCCAGTCTTCTCCCAAAGCCTCAAGGAAAATTCTTATTCTCCACACCACATCAACGATAGCATGAACTATGATCTTTGTTCCACATAAATAAGTTTTGATATTAATTGTGTACTCTCACCTTAGCCCTCACTGCATCATATCAACGTCTGTGCTATTAAAGCTGCAAGACTGACTTTGAGAAATGTGACATCTCTCTCTTAGAAAGGTAAAGATGCAATATGAATTTGGCTTTAATAATTGTTAAGGAACAAATCAGTATCAAAAACTTAAACAGGCTTGACATTGAGCTCCTCAAGAAGCACAGGCTAGCATTCAGGTAGTTGCTAGTAAGAAAATACTAACAACCTAAAATGGTAGAGAAAGCAGTAAGCATGAAGTTAAATGATTCTGGTTTGAGGATTTGGTACACATAAGTTAGGAACTTTGAACTTTGCTCTCTAATGCAGAATGGAGAAAAACATGCCTGCCTTGTGAAATATGTGAAAATGTATGTTAAAAATATTTTGTAAAACATAATGCACTGTATACAAAATATTAATAATGCCTTTCCATTCTCTGGGCAAGAAGTTAAAGGTAAAATTGCCTTTGGTTCCATAGAAGGGATAGGAAATGTATAAACCTTATGTTAGCCTTGTCTTTGAAGGAACAGGTGGTATTGGCTTGCAATTGACAGGTAGCGGGGCTGACAACAAGGTAATAGGACTGACAACAAAGTAATAGGGCAGAAGACAAGTAGTGTAATGATATTATAGGTTGGAGAATAAAAGAATGATAACAGCAGCCTTGATATCTCATGGCAGACACACAGGGGAAGTACACTTCCTACTTCATTTTAAATTTGGCATAGCCATATAACCTGCTTTTGCTGATAAAATATGACTGAAAATGACATGTATTACTCCGGATGAATGCAGTTAAGAGACATGTGCAATTCTTTCATATTCTTTTCTCATGCTTCAGATATTATGGAAGCACAGGTTGCTAAGAAGGTGACACAAAATGAAAAAAGCCTGTGGTCCTGTGCTATGACATAGAGGCTAGCTGCCCTGGAGAGGACTCTGCATAAGCAGGAAATAAGCTTTTGTTGTATTAAGCCATAACATTTTTGGTGTTGTTTTTTACTACATCACAATCTAGCCTACGCTGACTAATACACATTCTGAAGAGAACATATGGCATGGTTAACAGGGACATACATTTTTGTTTGTTTGTTTTGAGATAGGGTCTCTGCAATACAGGCTTCTGTGCAGTGGCGCAAACTTAGCTCAGCCTCCCAGGTTCAAGTGATCTGCCCACCTCAGCCTCCTGAGGAGCTGGGACTATGATTACAGACCCATGCTTATGCCACTATGTCCAGCTAATCTTTTGTTTTTGTCTTTGTTTTGTAGAAACGGGGTCTCATCGTGTTACCCAGGCTGGTCTACAACTCCTGGGCTCAAATGATCCATCTGCCTGGGCCTCTCAAAGTGCTGTGATTGCAGATGTGAGCCACTGTGGCAGCCTAAGGGGTATATACATTTGAGGGAGAAGAAACTAGGCCTTTTATCCCAGCTCAACTACTTATTGGTTGACCTTGAATATATTACAAGTGCATATATTACAGTTTATTGGACTATGTTCCAATAAACCCATAATAAGTTGAAAATATCTTTAAGTCAAAAAAGTTTTTAATACATGTAACCTACCAAACAAGATATCTTAGGCTAGCCTACCATAAATGTGCTCAGAACACTTAACGTTACCTTACTGTTGGGAAAAATAATCCAACACAAAGCCCATAAAAAAGTGTTGAATATCTCATGTCATGTATTGAATGCACTGTGGAGTCTAGTATCAGTGGTTTGCTGTTGTGATCACGTGGCTGACTGGGAGCTGTGGCTCAGCTCACTGCCACTACCCAGCTTCATGGGAAAATATCATATCACATATCCCAAGTCCAAGAAAAGATCTAAATTCAAAATTCGAAATACACTTTCTACTCAATGTATATGGCTTTTGCATCATGGTAAGTTGAAGATTCTTAAATCAAAACGTTATAAGTAGGGGATCATCAGCACTTACCCTCTCTAAGTCTGAATGTTATTAATTTTTATTATTTTGTAAACAATTTCAACATTTATTTTAGATTCAGGGGGTACATGTGCAGGGTTGTGACATGGGGCATATTGTGTGATGCTGAGGTTCCAGTGCAAATGATCCCATCACCGAGATAGTGAGCATAGCACCCAATAGTTAGTTTTACAACCTTTGCCCCCTCCCTCCTCTCCCCTCCAGCAGTCCCTAGTGTCTACGGTTCTCATCTTTATGTTCATGCATAATTGATGTTTGGATCCTACTTATAAGTGAGAACGTGGTGTTTGGTTTTCAGTTCCTATTCACTTAGGATAATGGCCTCCAGCTCCTTCCATGTTACTGCACAAGATATGATTTTGCTCTTTTAATGGCTGCATAGTATTCTATGGTATATATGTATCAGTCGTTATCCTTTTAAAATGAAATAGTGCTTGCTTAATAGGATTGTTTTGTGTGAGAAAGTTCCCGATTTTAGTAGGTATTTGAAAAATATGTATTGTTATTATACCTCAGCAACACTAAAACACACTTGAAATCTATTTAAAACAACCACAATAACTCTTGTTGGGGCCACGACACGTGTGGTAGAATGCACTGAGCAGGGTGCTGAGGGACCGTCCAGTATGGGAAAAGAGCAGCCATCCTTTGGAGGGTGTGAAGAGTGAAGCATGCTCTGTCCCGAGAATGTTAGGGTGAGGGGATCATGGAATACTGCAAGAACATTTTTGTACTTTACAGTTGTTTAATATTTTTCTTTCCTTTTTGCAATGTTGAATATTTTGCAAGACCAGGCGTTTAAGGCAGGTGAGAGCATCCTTCACTATACCAGCAGACTCGGGCAATTGGAACCCTCTCCAAGGACTGAGTGTTCTAGGAACTTCAAAGTTGCCAGTCTTCTCCTTATGTGTTGCGAACCCCAGTTTACTGAAGAGAGGAACTGCTCATGCAAAGACAATTAGTGTCACAGGGCATGAAGTAGATTCTTGCAACACTTGTGCTCACTGCAATAGCAACAGGAAGGGGCAATAAAATTATCACAGTAGTATAATACTTAATGCTACTGTAATTTTTACGTGGTTATCATTTAATACTGCATCTTGACATAGGTTCACATTTCTCTTCATTGCAAATGGGATTATGTACGGTTTGTAAGTGCATGTGTATTCTGATAAAGTTTGACTTTGTATAATAGATTTGTATATAATTTATGTGAATAAATGTTAAAGTTTCTACATATATTGTGTGCATTCATGACTTATCTTTTTCTTTATTTTTCAATATTTCTAGGCTATGTGGTTTGTCTGCAAGATTTTTCACATTGTTATACATCTCCAAAATATTTTCAAATATATTTATTGAAAAAATTATTTTCAATAATTTTATTGAAAAAAATCTACAACAAGTAGATGTGTGCAGTTCAAACCTTCATTGCTCAAGCGTACTGAGCTATGAATAGAAAGAACACTATAACAGACAGACACTCCTGAGATGCTGGGAAGCTGGAGGAGAATGAGATTATCACGTGGACATCATTGTTGGGCAGAAGTCAGCCCTCCACCACAAGAGAGCATTTTTGAGGGCTGGCTTTTGAAGGGATACATGGTCTGTTTCCTGTCTGACAGCACCATACCAAAGCAAACTTTTCTGTCACAAGCACTTTTCTAGAAGTAGAAACACGGTTGACTCACATTTTAGTCTGTATCTGTGTCGAAATATGGGTCCCCAAATATGGTTCGGCCTGTGTGCGTGGCCATCAGTACATGTATATCTGTGTGTGCACATGTTCCTCTACCTTGCCAATTTAAGAAACTTCATATTTAGTTTTTGAAAGTGCTTTTGAAAGTACTATAACTTTTATAGTATTATGGAAAACTCTCATGAGTTCTCCTCCCCTCCCCTTTTCTTTACTCCTGCCCTTTCATTGTTGTGTCATGTTAGGCCTTGTTACCTTTCCATGACTCTTTTACTTGGATTCACTAAGAACTCTGGATAAATAGTAGATCTCAATTTTTAAGGGTACATAGCTTTTGTTTATATTTAAAAATGGAATACACAGTAACAACACTATAATGTAGCACTATTAATTTGTAGGTATTTTCCTCATGTTGTAAGATTGGGTTATTATTATCTTCATATTTAAAGTGGTACAGATATTTATATTTATTTGGTCCCATATTTGCTTAGTATTTTTATGTACTAGGTTTCATTTAAATTATACCAACCCTAAATAGGTAAGAATATTATTAAAACACAGATTTATTTTTGCATTTTCTATACTTAAAATAATAATTCCATTGCACACTAAATCATGCTAAGTATTATTATAAGTGTAGGATACTCTCCTCATCTAAGAATTTTACCATCTTTTCAAAAGCAAAAATTATGGTGAAAGGAAGGGGTCCAGTTTCATTCTTCTGCATATGGCTAGCCAGTTATCCCAGCATCATTTGCTGAATAAGGAGCCTTTTCCCTACTGCTCATTTTTGTCTACTTGGTCAAAAAATCATATGGTTGTATGTGTGTGTATTAGACAGTTCTTGCATTACTATAAAGAAATGCCCAAGACTGGGTAATTTGTAAGAAAAGAGGTTTTATTGGCTGACGGTTCTGCAGGCTGTACAGGAAGCACAGTGCCAGCATCTACTTCTTGAGAGGCCTCAGGAAGTTTTTACTCAAGGCAGAAGATGAAGCAGGAGCAGGCGCCTCACATGGCAAAAACAAGAGTGAGAGAGAGTAGGGGGACTGCCATACACTTTAAATGATCAGATCTTGTGAGAACTCACTATGGCCAAGCAGTACCAAGCTGGGAAAGATGCATCCCCATGACCCGAATGCCTCCCATCAGGCCCCATCTCCAGCATTGAGTATTACAATTCAACATGAGATTTGGGTGGGGACAAATATACAAACGATATCAGTGTGCAGCTTTATTTCTGAGTTCCCTATTCTGTTCCACTGGTCTGTGTGTCTTTTTGTATCAGTACCACAATGTTTCCTTTACTGTGATGTACTGTAGTTTGAAGTTGGGTAGTGTGACGCCTCTGCCTTTGTTCTTTTTGCTTAGGATTGCTTTGGCTATTGGGATTCTTTTTGGTTTGTATAAATTTTTAAATAGTTTTTTCTAATTCTGTGTAAAATGACCTTGGTCGTTTGGTAGGAATAGCATTAATCTGTTGATTGTTTTGATAACATGAATTAAAGATTTAAACATAAGACCTGGAACTATGAGAATCTAGATGAAAATATAGGAAATGCCCATTCTAGGCATCAGCCTTAGGGAAGAATTTATGGCCAAGACCTCAAAAACAATTGCAACCAAAAAAAAAAAAATTGACAAGTGGAACCTCATTAAACTAATGAGCTTCTGCACAGCAAAAGAAAGTATCAACAGAGTAAACAGACAACCTACAGAATGGGAGACAGTACTTGCAAACTGCATCTGACCAAAGGTCTAATAAAGGCCAATATCCAGAATGTATAAGGAACTTAAATCAGCAAGAAAAAAAAGAAAAAGAAAAAGAAAACTCCATTAAAAACGGGCAAAGGACATGAACAAATACTTCTCAAAGACATGTAAGCAGCCAAGAAACCTATGAATAAATGTTAAACATCACTCATTATCATATCAGAAAAATGCGAATCAAAACCACAATGAGGTATCAGGCATACTAGTCAGAATAGCTATTATTTAAAAAGTCAAAAATAACAGCTGCTGGTGGGGCTGTGGAGAAAAGGGAACACTGTACTGTTGGTGGGAATGTAAATTACTTTAGCTACTGTGGAAAGCAGTTTGGAGATTTCTCAAAGAACTCAAAACAGAACTACCATTTGACTCAGTAATCCCATTACTAAGTATTTACTGAAAGGAGAAGAAATCATTCTACCAAAAAGACAGGTGCACTCGTATGTTCATGATAGCACTACTGACAATAGTGAAGACATGGAATCAACAAAGGTGCCCATCAGTGATAAAGAAAAATGGTACATATACACCATGGAATACTACACAGCCATAAAAAAGAACACAATCATGTCTTTTGCAGCAACATGGATGCAGCTGGAGGCCATTGTCTTAAGTTGAGGCAGAAACAGAAAACCAAATGCTGCATATTCTCGCTTTTAAATGGAAGCTAAACATGTGGTACACATAGACATAAAGATGGCAACAACAGACATGGGGCTACCACAGCTGAAAAACAGGAAGGGGGAAAGGGCTGAAAACTACCTATTGGGTACTATGCTTATCACCTGGGTAACAAAAATCATTTGTACCCCAAACCTCAGCATCACCTAATTTACCCATATAACAAACTTCCACATGCACCTCCTGAATCTCAAATAAAAGTTGAGATTATTTTTTAAAATTAAAAATAAGCCAGGAACAGTGACTCACACCTGTAATCCCAGCACTTTGGGAGGCGGAGAAGGGCAGATTACCTGAGGTCAGGAGTTCGAGACCAGCCTGACCAACATAGAGAAACCCCATCTCTACTAAAATTACAAAAAAAAATCAGCCAGGCATGGTGGTGCATGCCTGTAATCCCAGCCACTCAGGAGGCTAAGGCAGGAGAATCACTAAAACCCAGGGGGCGGAGGTTACAGGGAGCTGAGATCGCACCATTGCACTCCAGCCTGGGCAACAGGAGCGAAACTCTGTCTCAATAAATAAATAATTAAAGTGATGCATTTAGGAGCAAAACTCTGTCTAAATATATAAATAAATAAAAACAAAAATTAAAGTGATACATTTGGAACATGCCCAGTACAACCAAGGATGGAGAAGCAGAGGAAATTCAAGGTATCAGTTTTCAGTATAAAACCAAAGTGATGTGTTTCAGAACAGTTTTTAATGTTGACATGACTTTCTAGTTGACTTTTTAGTATTCCTCTTGATATTCAGAACATTGTGATTAATAGTCAGTTTTTTTCACTTTTGTTATATACATATATATTGATATATATTGTATATAAAACAGATTAGTAGGAAAAACAATCTTGGTTTCTTAAACAATTCAATTAAGTAAAGAGGGTAATGTTTTTAAGACCTTTTTTTCTAATGGTTGCATTTCATGAATTAATAATTCTAGAACTTATGCTCTTACTTTTAAATGTATGTTCCCCTACAAAGTGAGCTTCTGAAAAATGAATGCAAAAGTATCATCAGCTGGGCACGGTGGCTCACATCTGTAATCCCAGCATTTTGGGAGGTGGAGGTAGGCAGATCATCTGAGATTGGGAGTTGGAGACCAGCCTGAGCAACATGGAGAAATCCTGTCTCTACTAAAAATGCAAAATTAGCCAGGTATAGTGGCTCGTGCCTGTAATCCCAGCTACTCAGGAGGCTGAGGCCCAATTGCTCGAACTCGGGAGGCAGAGGTTGCAGTGAGCTGAGATCATGCTATCGCACTCCAGCCTGGGCAACAAGAGTGAAACTCTGTCTCAAATAAATAAATTAATTAAAAAGTCCCTTGTGTATATCAAAAGGAGATGGTTTTACTGCAAACTGTAGTTAAGGCAAACAGTTAAATTTACTGTGGACCAAGAGTAGAGATTATTAGGTTATTTAATTTAATTACAAATCATAGAAAGTTCTTTAGTGTAGTACTCTTCAGACATAACTATTGGGACTGTATTTTGAAATACATATCACATATAGCAAAAAGAAAAGGAGACAATCCTTTTTTTAAAATTACATTTCAATATCTACATATATAAATATAAATACATATATTCACTCTGATAGCATTCAAAATGGCCCCCATGAAGCCTCATCTCCTGATATTCTTACCTCTGTTTGATTCTCTCCACATTGTGCCCTGGTTGGTCCGCGTGACCAATATAATATGGCAGAAGAGATGCCACTTCTGTGATTAGATTTTCAAAGACTGTGGCTTACATTCAAGTTCCTCTTTCTTTCATATGCTTTCTCTCTCAATATCATTGCTCTAGGAGAAGCCTGCTGACAGGCCTGGCAACAATTGTGAGTGAGCTGAGAAGCAGATTCTCCAGCTCCACCAGAGCCTGGAGATGATAGCAGCCCTGGGGACAGGGTAACTACAACTGTATGAAGACCCTGAAGCAGAACTACTCCACCAAGCCGCTCCCAGATCCTGACCCTCAGAAACTCTATAATAAATATTTGTTGTTTGAAGATATTGGTTTGGGAGCGATTCATTACCCACAGTGGAGAACTACTATAGTTGTCAATGTTGAGTAGAAAATAAACATTTAGAATTTTTTGCAGTTTTTAATATTTCAAGCCTATCTCCAACACATCAATATGTTTTCTGTTTTAAATTGAAATTATATGAGAGTATGGAGGCTTGCTCTGAGGATTCCTGTTTCTAAATACATAATGGGCTTTTTAATTTTCTATTAGGTCTTGAAAAAAAGCAGATGTCAGTTAATGTCACCCAAAAACAAAAGGTGATTTTACTCAAGTATTTTTTGGATAATAGAGTGCTTTTTAGGAAAAGCATCAGCCACAAAAATGTTTGTCTCAAAATGATGTATTGCTGGCATGGATCACTGCTACAAGTGACCTGCTCTCCTGTAGAGAAGGGCGTGCTTTGCACAGTGCATGGCAGCCATCGGTGCTCTGTAATTGTCCATCATCACAGCACTATGATATTAGTGCTCAGAGTCTATCAATCAGTTGAGAGATGTTTTGGCTCAAATGGTGTTCTTTGTTTCACTGAGTTGTGTAATGTAAAGAGATTCTGCTGTCACTAAAATAGAACATGCAATGCTAGATTAAATACATGCTTTCTTAAAATGGGATTCTGGTTTTCTAATTCCAGAGGAATTCAATGACCTAATGGTTTCATTATCAATCCATCAGCAATCCTTCTCAAAGAGTGTCTACTGGAGTCTTGGGGACCTAGACTAGCTGAATATTCTTACCAGGTAAGCCTTTTTTGCTCAAGCTTCAGATTATGGTAGAAAACGGTCGTTGTGGGGAGAGGAACAGGAATGGGTCTTTGATGCATTTGCCAGGGCTGCCTAACAAAGTACCATGGACTGGGTGACTTAAACAACAGAAATGTATTTCTCACAGTTTGGGAGGCTAGAAGTCCAAGATCAAGGTGTTGGCAGCGTTGGTTTCTTCTGAAGCCCTCTCTTCTTGGCTTGTAAAGGGTTGTTCTTCCTATGTGTCTCCATATGGTCTCCCTTTGTGGCTATTGTGCCCTATTTACCTCTTCTTTTATGAACACCAGCCACATTAAATTAGGTTCATTCTAATGACCTTATTTTACCTCTTTAAATACCCTGTCTCCAATACAATCACATTCCGACGTACTTCAACATGTAAATTTGGGGGAGACATTATTCAACCCACAAGAGAATCAAAATGTATTGTTTAGGTAAAAAACTAACAGAGCAAACAAATAAAATCATTTGAAATTTTTAGCAGAGATGAATAAGTGATATGTGTCGTAATAAAAGTGGTAATAAGAGCAGGCTTCTTGTTAGTAAATTTTATTATAGTTCTGATATGTTTTTTACCTGTAGATTTTATTTCTTCTGCATAAAAGATTTGTGATACTTATATGATGTAATTAGCTCACATTCAAGAAAGGCCAATTCTCAAATATAGTTTTTTATAAAATCTACATGAATAATTTACTAAGCTTGTATTATCTGGTGTGCGCATGTTTGTTTAAATAAAGAGAAACCAGTAATTCACTTATGCTACAGAATAATATTAGCCCAGACCAATCTTTCTTTTCTCATCCATCCCAAATAAAAAAGAGAAAATGTCAATATTTCACCAACTTAATGAGTATACAATAGGTGCTATAACTATTAGCACGATTCTTCGTGCTTGTGCTGTGAGGCCTGATGAAGCATTTGATACCCAGTCCTTCTCATACAACCTCCCAAACAGAGTTACTGTTAAGACGGGTCCAGATGTTGGTTTCAGACTAAATAAGCGTCCATCAGTTGACACCTGATTAAAACAAAAAAGTAGGCAAAGGCTACCGTCAAGTTATATAATCCCATAACTCACTTTTAAAATTTAGTATAACTGAATGAAGAAACAAAAACACTGGCCAAATTCTGTTAAGAAAAATTTGAAATGTTGCCAATTATAAGAAAAATTGGAGCTATACAACTGGCATTGATTCATTTATTATTGAAATGCCCACAATCAATAATATCGTCTAATTTACTTACCTGTGGAAGCACCATAAGAGTTAATAAACACAAACCAGTGGATTTGGTAGTATACAGAAGAGAAATCTAAGACTCCCCCAAATGGCCCGAAGCAATTGACTAAGTGGGGTTTGAACTTAGCATTGGTCATCTCCTATCTCTTGCTCACCACAGCCTCCTCACCATTCCATTATCCTCTGCACCCCAGCAGTGATTTCTACTAGGAAAGGGAATTGAGAAGAGAACTGGCAGGAAGTCAGCGGAAGAATGTGGCCGGGCAGAGCACATGTGCGGCAAGGGATTATTGCTGAACTTTAAAAAGTTTTTGCTTTTTTGCCAACATCATCCACTGTGGAATCCTCTCTTCTTTGGCTTTTCCTTGTCTCTTTTCCTTCTATTATCACACAGAGCCTTGACTCACTCAATGAAAGGGACTCCTTTCAACCTCCCCTGGCCATCACTCCCCAGTGACCCTAAGGGGCTCCAGTGGGACTGGTTCTGAAACTACTCTCATCGAATCTTCTTTCTACTTGGAAGACCTAAAGCAACCCAGGCTTCTCCCTGTAATCCCCAAAATAAGATATATATCTTTTTATTCTCAAGGACACACTAATTATTATGTTAAGAATTTCCAGACAAGAAATACGGTCTGCTCAATGTCCTTCATGATCCCCAAGGATAATCTTACCCTTTCCAAATAGAAATTTATATGATATATGTAAGCACTTGAGCAGGTTTTTATATCAAAAAGTACTTCCTCTCATGTGAAACTAATTGGCAATAATTAAAGATTCTTACCTGAAATTCTCCAGGTGCAAGCTTCGTTTCACTCAGCAATACCTCAGGAAAGACATACTGGGTTCTGAAAGTGCCACTGAGGGAGAACATTTCAAACCTGGTAGAAGCTGTTTCCACTGAGTCACCACAAGTGTTTAAACCAGTCATTTTGCACTTCAGCAGAGTACAAATCTAGGGAAGTCATGAAAAGCAGTAGGTCATAAGAAACTCATATGGAGTATGTTAATTTGCTTGATTTAATCATTTCATGGTGTCTATGCATATCAAAACATCACATAATACACTGCAAATATATATAATTTTCTTTTTTTTTTTTTTTTTTTGAGACGGAGTTTCGCTATTGTTACCCAGGCTGGAGTGCAATGGTGCGATCTCGGCTCACCGCAACCTCCGCCCACCGGATTCAGGTAATTCTCCTGCCTCAGCCTCCTGAGTAGCTGGGATTACAGGCACACGCCACCGTGCCCAACTAATTTTTTGTATTTTTAGTAGAGACGGGGTTTCACCATGTTGACCAGGATGGTCTTGATCTCTTGACCTCGTGATCCACCCTCCTCGGCCTCCCAAAATGCTGAGATTACAGGCTTGAGCCACCACGCCCGGCCATAATTTTCATTTATTAATGACAATAAAGCTGGGGCAAATTTTAAATATAAAATAGAAAAAAACAATAAGATAATTAAATAAAATGCTAGATGCTCTTTAAAAGAAAAAACATGAGAAAGTCAACTGAAATACTATCTTGATCTAGAAAAATATCTATGCTGCTTTATTTGGTAAAAGTATGTTACTTCCTCATTAGATTCATCCAGTTTATTGCTGGATAATTAATGCAACTAGTAATAAAAATAAAGGACTTTAATCCCCAGTGCTTCCCACAATTCACTGCCAAATAGATTAATCACATAAAGAGACAATCAGATCCTTAGCCTATAACCATGAACAGCTATATCTTCATTGTTCTCAAGTTATTAATGATTTTAATTATCAAGAGCTTAAAACAAGTTTAAAGGTTTAATTTCGACACCTGTGTAAATCATGTCTTATTGCCTGTTTCACACAATAAAAGAGCCTCAGAGTTGTAATAAGCCCTAGAGTTGACCTGGAGGCAACCCCTGTAATCTGGAAAAGTCATATCCTTTATATCTGTGCAAGAACTGAAACTCTTCTCCATTAAGTTTTTCTTTCACTGTAGTGTGTAGCTATTTGACTATAAAATCTAAGTATATGGGTCATCTCCCCATGCAGACGGAAAGTTTCCAAAAAGGGATCCATATTCACTTAATTCCATCTGTACAGCATCTTCCAAGTGACCTTCATTTCTTGCTTGACTAAAGCAGTAGCTGCTAACTGGTCTCACGGTTTCCACTTTGCGGTGGAAAGTAATCACTTCAGTGCAAGTGTATTAAGATGGGATAGAAATAACTTTCAGGTAAAGGTAGAATGAACACATGCTTTGATTTTATTTCCTATAATCCTTCAAAAAGAACACTAATTTTTTTGTTAAAGATAAAACCCACAAAGATGGGAAGACAGGAGGACAGACCACAGCATAGTTTTAGAAACTAGGATGTTGATACAAAAAGGAGTAACTGATTTAGCAGACTGAGAAAGCCAAGTCCTAAACTAACAGTAGAAAGAGCCAAGCATCAACCCTGTCTACATTCCAAAGCACTCAAAGATTTAATCAGTGGGACTGCTCTGTACCGAGAGCTGGGAGTAAAGTTGTGGCAGTGGAAGGAAAAAAAAATGAGCAGGAAGTTATGAAGGATGCCTTGGATACTACGTCCTCCAAAAAAATGGGTAACTGACCCTCCCCTACTCCAGTAAATAAATGAGAATGTTTCCAGAGAGGGTAAAGTGGATGGTGTTAAGATGGAAGTTTGGGAGACACAGTCGGAGGGGATAACATGAATAAATAATACTGAATGTTGAAAATGTTCCCCCTCCACTCCCACCCAGACCTTGCAAGGCCATTTTCCCCACTTGGCTCCCTAATGCTGTCAGCAGGGATTTATCTTTCAGGAATAGGGTTGCCAGGTAAAACACAGGGCAAGACTCTCAGTTAAATTTGAAGTTCAGATATGCAACAAATAATTGTTTAGTATATCTTAAATATTGAATGGGACATACTTACACTTTTAAAAAAAAATGTTTATCTAGCCGGGCGCGGTGGCTCACGCCTGTAATCCCAACACTTTGGGAAGCTGAGGTGGGCAGATCACCTGAGGTCATGAGTTACCAGCCTGACCAATACAGTGAAACCCCATCTTAAAAATAAAAACGTTTATCTGGGCCAGGGGCAATGACTAACACTTGTAATCCCAGCACTTTTGGAGGCTGAGTTGGTGGATCACTTGAGGTCACGAGTTCGAGACCAGATTGGCCTACATGGTGAAACCTTGTCTCTATCAAAAATATAAAAAAATAGCTGGGTGTGGTGGCAACCACCTGTCATCCCAGCTACTCAGGAGGCTGAGGCAGGAGAATTGCTTGAACCTGAGAGACAGAGGATGCAGTGAGCCAAGATCATGCCACCGCACTCCAGCCTTGGCAACAGAAAGAGACTCTGTCTTAAAAAAGAAAGTTTATCTGAATTTCAAATTTACCTGGGGATCCTGTATTTTATTTCCTAAATTAGGCAACTGACTCAAGAAAGAAATTAGAAGAATCTGGAAACCTGGAAGGCGTGACCATCCCAAGATGAAGTCTCTGAAGACACTTACCTCAGATTTCCCCCAATAAAAGGTGCAGCTAGATCATTCTATCATAAAGTTCAAAATTGGCAAGTATTAGTCACATCCTCAGAATTTTCTATCAGTTTTTGATAATCCCCAAGAATTACCAGACATGTGAGAAAAATTTATTACATGAAAAACAAATAAAAAAAGCAGGTAAAGACAACTTAAAGGAAGCAGGCGGAAGAAGCTTCAAGAAAAAATTTCCTAAATAACCTCAGAGAAAGAAGAAAAATAATGCATGCACAAAACAGTAACAAGTGTTGAAGAAAAAGTAAAACTCAGAAGACAAAAAAGAGTTCTTGGAAATTGAGAACATGTGAACAAAAATAAAAGATTCAGTGCAAGATTTGGAAGATCAAGAGGAGGAAACCTCTCAGAAAGCAGAGGAAAAAATTAAGTAGTAGAAAACAGCAGAGAAAATTAGAGGACCAATTCAAGAGGCAAAATATCCCAGTAATAGGAGTTTCAGAAAAACAGAAAAAGATATGGAGAGGAAGAAATTCTGTATGCATTCTCAGGAAGGTGTGGAATGAGGAATACACATGCAGAGAATCAAGAATCAGAAGAACTTCAGAATTCTCAGTAGCAACATAGGAAGGGAGGCTATAATACCTTAACAATACTAAATAAAAGTTATAACCGCCTTTGAATTCCATGCCCAGTGAAATACTTAACCAAATTTAAGAGGAAAGGCACTTTCAGATATGTAACTCTCAAAAATTTTGCATCCCAATCACTCTTAGGAAACTGTTAACAAGAAGAAAGAGGTCATAAGCCCAAAACAAGGAAGGCAGGGAAGAGAAAACAGGAAATCCACACAGGGAAGTGGTAAACAAAAATCTTCACCATGAGGATGAAGGGAGATTCCAGGATGACTCCTATGGTGTAAAAGGCATGCAGAGCAGCCAGTTCAGTTTAGAGCAAGGTGACTAGACAGAATTGACTCCAGCACAACAAAGGAGCAAATAGACAGCAGGAGAAAAACAGAGAGCCCAAAACAAGGAAGTAGCTAAGAGAGAATTCCTAGGATGACAGCAAAGGAAATCTCAATATGACAGCTGTGCAGAAGAACTAGAGGGAAACCAATGCAGAGAAAGGTTATTATTTTTAGCTCAGGATAATCATGAAAACGACATTGTAGGAAAATTATTCTGAGATGCTGTTGGAAGATATGGGGAGTTTTAACAAAAAGTCAAAGAAAATTAACTAAATTTTAAAAAGCAAGGCAATTAATAACTTTAGGAAAAACAAAGAAAAAATATAAAAGCAATACTCTGAGAGATGTTTGCAATGACATATTGATATAAACAAAAGTTACATTGGAAGGTTGGTAGGGGACACAGGAAGGATGATGTAGCAAAGCTTAATGTTAAGAAAATAACTAAAACTGGTGAGTTTTTAAAAAGAAAAATATTATTAGAAAATCTTAAGGGTATTGTAATTAAAGAAGTAAAAGTCAAAAGGGCCTCTGGAAAAGGAAACTAGGTAAATTAAGGAAGGCACAAATGTTTTATAACATTTTTAGTGTCTTTTGTCTTCTTGACTATGAGCCTGTATTACTTTGATCAAGATAAATGAAAAGAGAAAGAATAAAACTGATTCGGGCAATAAGAAAGGACAGAAAGTCTTGCACATGAAGAGAAATTAATAGATAAAGGAATTCAATTAGAACTAAAATTTATAAATAAAGCAGTGCTGCTCAAAAACATAGAGATGAGTAAATTCTGTAAGAAACAATTAAGATTCAAAAGTATTTGTCTCTAGACAGGTAGACTGGGTAGAGCAGAGAGGCAACTAGTGTTTTATGAGCCTTTAGAGCTATTTGTTTTCTTAATTGTGGCCATGTACAACTTTAAGTTAATAAGGAAAGCAGGGAGAAGATCGATCCAGGTGATAAGAAAGGATGGGACACCTGGCCTATGAAAAGGACTAGAAGAATAAAGGAACTAAATAAGGAGCTACTAGCAATACAGCCAATGTTTATGTGAGTGAAGCTAGGTATTGTAGGTCTGGTCATTAAAAGAAAAGGTTATGCTTATTTTTATTAACAATAATAATGATAAAGGTTAATATATATTAAGTACATTCTACATGCCAATGTGAAAGGAAAATACCTTGGGCATTCAAAATCACGAAGCTAAAGGGGTAAGTCAAGCTGGGAACTGCTTCAGGCAAACCTGCCTCCCATTCTATTCAGTCAGTCCTCTCTCAGGCTCAGTGGCTCTTATCTGTAATCCCAGCACTTTGGGAGGCTGAGGAGGGTGGATCACCTGAGGTCTGGAGTTCAAGACCAGCCTGACCAATGTGGAGAAACCTCATCTCTACTAAAAATACAAAATTAACCAAGCGTGGTGGTGCATGCCTGTAATCCCAGCTACTTGGGAGGCTGAGACAGGAGAATCACTTGAACCCGGGAGGCGGAGGTTGAGT